AAGTACGCAACACCCCCCTCCTCCCCCCCCCCCCCAGTCTAACCGTCTTTCCCTCTCCCCTCCCCATCCACCCACCACCACCTTCCCTTACCCCCGCCCCCACTACCGCCCCCACCCACATACACAATAGATTGAAGAGAATGGTTTTTAGTTGACATTAATTCCTAATGCATCTTATTAAACTTTTGTCACAAATTCTAATTTAACACGCCAGGTATCGATCTTTAGTGAATTTCCACGCTACACATTTTCCTCACGATCTATAAACTATCAATAATTTCCATTACGTCCATACGTCTGTTTTATTTCGCGGACACACATAGGCAGGTTCAAACTTTCGACGATAATAAAAACAACAGCTGAGCTCATCGTAACAAAACAGAACGGTCGTTGTGCTTTCCACAAAAGCGTCTTTCTTTTGTCGTCCTGCAATCACATGCCACAGAGTTCGAGATCGTAGCGAACAGCTTGCGGTAGAGGGTATAAACAACTTCTCCGCCCCCCCTCCTTTTTTTCCCTTCTAAATGATGAATGGCATAACATTATGCGACTTTTAATTACCTTCGTGGTGACATTTGGGATAAAATTGCAAGTACCGTGTATTAATGAATTAAAAGTCACGAACTGAACCAAATTACATTGTAATTAAAGACAAAAATTATTTTATGTGCATTCCATTGCTGGTTATAACTGCGTCGTAATCATAATTGGTAACGATAGGCCTATATCTTTATGTATTTCGTTTGGGTTTTTTTGTTGGCTCTACCACTACCACTGCGCTGCGTGTCGCGTTTTAAAATTTATATGTGAGACCGCAGTTATAGCTCGGCTGATGAAAGTTGATAACATGCTAGACTACTTGCATGATACGACGTGGGTGACCATGGGCCAAATCCCCAAAGGGTTGTACGCCTTCATTTTAATGACTTGGGGCATGATTCCTTCTTTCAAAAAAGTTTGTACAGATTTGGAGAATTCTAAAAATGGGGCAAGATTCGACTACCACATTTCTGGATTTTCTAATATTATTTTTAAAATTTAAGTTAGAATGTGTTGTGACCCC